TCCTTGGTACAATTCTTCCAATATTATAATTTAGGTCTTATTATTTACATTTAAAGATCAGCTGACCCTTTTATTATTTTAAAACATACGTATATGCCTGTCTCCATTTTCAGTTTTCATTATTATTATCTTTTGATGTATTATAATTAGATGTTGACTTTCTATTTCATTTTGCACAGCTAATTTTGCTTTCATATTATGTGTATTACATAATTGTAATTATCAAACAAAATATGATGAGGAAAGCTAAATCGTTATCTGGTACAGTACACGCAAGTATTCAAGAAATACACAATAATAATCCCTTCAATATTAATACACCACAACTTAGTGGCACCAATACAAAATCATTTATAGTGCAGACTGAACAACTTTGTTTCTAAAAGTCCTGAAAACAAAATGGTAGTGTACAAATGAACTAAACATAGAGTACAGTACACAGACTAACAGACAAACTACAAAAAAAACGTCACAAAACCACTGTTGTTTATGAGTGATGTTTTATTCATGTACTGTAGTGCCCTCTATTGGTGAAAACAAGTTACAATTTTTTATTTATTATGCTACCTTTGTACCATTTGTTTATAGTCCAATATTGGCTGTTTGGCTAATGGACCTTCTGTAGTGTCAATCAAATTTAATCACTGACCCATCAGGACAACGTTAATGTTACCTGCTTGCCCCAAACCTTACCAACAATATCTAAGAGGCAGGCCTTTAGTGGAATGGTCCATTAAGTTTGACTCCTTAACTTCCAGATTTTAACATGAGATTTTTTGCAAAACATACTGACACCGCATTAAGTGACATCGTATTTTAATACCTGCAGGTACTTATAGCCACCTAATCATCACACATATTATAATATGAAAAACACTGATGTATTTTATACCTTTTTCATTGTAGATGGGAAGAATCATTAGTAATATTAAAATTAAGAGTTGGATGGTGGGTTAAGAAGTCTAATCCTAAAAAACAAAAGTTTCTTTCAGATAATGTCACCATGTTTATTTCAGATGAATACACTGAACCTTCCAAGTGAAGAGCCATCTTAAAAAAATACTCAATTTGTATAAAGTTATGTTGATTACGTACAATTCTAACACCTGCTTTTTTACATGGATTTTCATTAACTTCAACATTAATTTTAAAATAATCAAAACTATTCACATCATTAATACTATTTTTTAATGTTAGGCATTAAAAACAAACGTTAAGCAAACAACAAAAGAATTAATATTATTATTGAAAATGGATGATACTATAATAAAACCACACTATATAAATTAAATTAAATTAATAAGCAACACTAAAAATTGTTTTTACTCACACCAAATCTATAAGTATCTTATAAAGCTTGGAAGTGTTGATGTTAAGCGTATTACTCTGTGGCAAACCAAGCAGGTCTCTTATTTTACATCTACCAATAAGGACCTTACACACAAGAATACCATAGCTATTTGATCTATAAATTTGAATGCCCTGGCTACAATGACAGTTGCATAGGAAAGACAGATAGATGCCTTAAGAAAAGAGTAAATAAGCATGCTCTCAAATCAGAAAGCAGTATTCACAAGCACATACTGTACAACAACATAGTATAATACATACTCCAAGTATCGAAATGCGCGCCATCGTGTCAGGATTCAATATTTCAACATTAATTATGTCATCATCAGGAATGATAACATTCATGATGATGACATAATTAATGTTGAAATATTGAATCCCGACACGATGGTGTGCATTTCGATACGTGGAGTTTATATTATCTTATCTGAGATTAATCAGTGGACCTTTCAGATACTGTACAACAATGTGAGGTATTGAAATCAACAATAATTTCCTGCAAAATGTAAATATTTCATCACTCAAGCAAACTTTAATATTTGATAATACATCATGTATGGCTCACTACACTGGTCACAAATTTTATTTATGGACATTGGAGGCTTTGGCCATAGGTGCCGCATTTCAAGCATGTACTAAACACTGTGTTGAGAGCATCTAACGAGCTTTCATGATTTACAATTACTGTAATTCTGAACTTTTAATTTATATCACATTTACTTCTTATATTAGATTTTCTACTGAGTAAGTATTTAACTGGTGACATAATTGATGTCGAAATATTGAATCCCTACACAATTACCAGGTTCACATGTCTTAGGTTGCTCGCGAGCAGATGATCGGCTCCCGAGCCGGGACTTCATGTGAACAATCGCTCAAGAGCGGTTTTTGTTGTGGGTGACCCACGACAAGCCGCTCTTGGTCGACTCTCGGTGCAGCTCGCTCTCGATCCATGTGAACAGCCGCTTGCAAGTGGGTCGCCAGTGAGCTGTGACCTCTTTTGTGTGAAAGCCAATCAGATAAAAGATCTCTCCGGGGTCAAAGTAGTTAGCTTATTTGTGCGAATATTCGCAGTTAAGAACGCTATTTTCACAATCGTTGCAGTATTGGCTGTTGTACGTTACTTTTCATTTAAATATCCCTCCCTCCATGTCAACTTCAACTGGATCTGGCCCTCGGGCCTATTGGACCGAGTAGGAAATTAGTGACTTGATAGAGATTTGGGCAGAACCCGAGATTAGAATGTTAGTCGAAGACAAGAAGTCAAAGAAAAAGACAAAAATACACGAGAAAAGCTATATTTTCGTGTGTCAGGCCAAATTGGCAAATCCAAACAAGGATGCAGGATCTAAACTAAGAAAACGGTACAAACTTACTTAGAAGAGGTGAATCGGGATCTTGGGCTACAGAATTGGGAACATCGGTGATCGCCCAAAAATATAAGGTAGGGGCCATTGGAGGATAGTCGATGCCCCCTCCACCCAGGCCTAGGATCAGAAATCGCAGGCCTAGCATGTCTAACTAATTGGGGCTGTGACATAAATTTATTTCCGGTCGCCTCGAAAGCAGCAGCGAACGAGTTTGACCTTTTTTTTTTATCTAACACAATCTCGCTCAAGACCTAGCGCCTGAGCTGCTCGCGATCAATGGAGACATGTGAACGTGACTAATGACGTGCATTTCGATACTTTGATTATGTATTATACTATCTTTTCACTGGCGTATCCTATTGTTTATTTCCTTTCTTGAGATTTTTCAATTCAGATACAATTGTTGTTTATTCATTGTTATTCATGAAAACATCAAGACGCACCTTATTTTTTAATTTCCTCATTTTAATTTTGTTAAATAGGATTGGTTGGTTTTTATTTACTTTCTGAATATACTTCTGTAAGATATTGTAAATATATATGGATGGGTGAGATTTTCTCATCAGTATTCTTAATAATGATTAAATAGACCAAAACGTTGAATCTAAAAATGTCTCTCTCTTTTTGGAGTTACGGTACTGTCCTTTTGTTTTATACTTCGTAATGCGATTTTTAAGTTCAACTATCCATCACTACATTAAAAGGCATGACTAGCATACAACAATTATGAATTCAGCATGGATATTAAATGTAGGGCAAAAACAATACCCTCCCTGGGGACACTAATTAATCGTTATAAAATTGCTCATTAGTTCATAATTACTATGCCTAGCTGATGAAAGGTAGGTTCTAGTGACTCAGTGCAGCTATGAAGCAGTTGTCTATACTTCCAGTATTGGAGGGCATTGTCATATTGGGCCTGGAGCATTTCTGTTTTATGATTACAAAGTAGTGTATGTTAGAGAAATGCATTGCTCTGGTATAGCCAGGAATCAATGGAGAAAAAACTGTACAAGTCTTGCTAATAAGCAAGTATAAATGCTTCTTATGTTACATGAACATACGCAAAAGGATTGTTGGGCATGGTGCCTGTGGCAGAAATTAGTGTTGGGTTATTTCTCATTGACATAGAGGCATGAGACTGAACTTAAATGTTGGCAGTAGCACATTGTAGAGTTTGAAAAATGGCTTTGCTTCGACAAAGTATCTAGGTTGAATAGATTTGCTGAAAGCCATTAATAAATATCAAATCAGTTCTTATAATTTAATAATATTAATAATAAAGTAGTAGTTATAATGAGCTGTGACACCTTGGTGTTACATGATGTTTGTAACAATTATAACAGTGATAACGATGAGGATGCTTTGGTGATGATAATGGTGATCACGATAATGTTGATTATAGTAATGATCTTGATGATCATGGATGATGATAAGCAGCAAAGGTGACCAGTGGTAATGATGGTGGTAGAGGTAGTGGTAGTGGTGACTTTGATGATGGTACTGCAGATGATGAATGGTTGATGGATGACAATGATGATGATAATGATGATGATGATGAGGATCATGATAATGATGATGATGATGATAATAATGAAAATGATGATGATGATGATAATGATGGTGAAGATAATATTGATGATGACAATGGTAAAATTTTCTCGCATGCACGGATGACTTTTAGTGATGTCATTACGTTCTACGTCCTACCGTCGTCGTGCATTTAAAAGCACCCTAATGAAACTATGGCGAAGGGTCTTTTTCATAAGGAAGTTAAAAGTTAAAAATAAAATTCTAAATGAATACTTTCAAAATACCAAGACTAACAAGACACCCTAACCACCAACAGTCTAGAATGCAAATTATTCCACAACATTTTCAAAAAATACCCAAGGGGTAACCAAACACACCCTGTCTATCCAACACATATCCCACATTGCTCGCGACTGCCAAACCAAGCTATACCAGCCTAATATCAACATATTTTCAACACTTTACTGCAATAAATTTTAAGGTTGCTTGTGTACAGACACATATAAAAATAATTCTATGAAAATAGAAAACATTCTTCTGGTTCAAAAATAGAGTTTAACATAAAGTACAATATTGTATAATAATGAAAGTTAATATCTTCAATACAATAGTCTTGTCTTATGTTGCACTCTCACATCTGACCTTTATGAATCTGTATATAAAAAGGGTTACAAACCTCATAAATTTTGAAAATAATTTATGACATGTTGTTAATAACCCACAACATATTAGAAAATGAAAACTCACCATCTACTTTAATCTGCGCTGCGGGTTTTCCTAACCCGGTTGTTTTCGGTTTTGCTATACGTGATGGCGGCTTCAACCCTGATGTTCTGCCCGTCGTAGCCATGGTTACACTGGTCTTTTTTTTATTTCAGATCATTAGCGTATTAATAAAGGAGACTTTTTGTAACCTTTTTATAAAAAAGAGAAGAGAAATGGAAAATGTATTTATACATTTTTTTCTTTTTTTCAACAATATTTTGTGAGAGTACTGTAGTCCATCGGGCCGGAGCTGATTAATCGGGACCCTCAATACAATGAAACAATGGAAATGAAATAGTATGAGTAGAGGGATACCCTGGTATGGGGTACTGCTTCATACAGCCCTTGTTGCCCTTCAGTTGTGGAGCCTTTGCAGGATGTACCTATTACGATTTATATAATACGTGTATAAACGAAAAAAATTTAAAAAATGAAAAAGCAATACAATAAAAACCAATAAAATGAATAGAAATAACATAGTTAAGTTTAAATAAATTCTCAAACAGTAATGAATATTGAATATAAATTTAATTAATAAAGCAAAGGAAAATAGTTATTATTAGAAAATAAGTAAAAAAAAACAAACCAATTTATAAAATGAATCGGAAAACTAACATAATTTACATATTGTAAAAAGAAAATCAAGGATGAAAAAAAAGAAAAGATTAACAAAATTGTACCAATTTTTCGGCCACCCTGAAGACAGAAAACAAAAGGCAACAAAACCAAGGAAAGTGAGAGATAATTTGAAGATATTCTCCCTATTAAAAGCCATACTGTCCTGTACTCTTTTCTGTCTGCATATTGTACACTATTGAACAAATAGTTCTTGCCCTCACCTATTTTATCAAGCATCATTAGCTAGAAATGCACAGATTCTTCTGCATCGGCCATTTTCAAACATAAATACTTAATGTACCATACACAGAAAAACGTATTTAGCCGATTTATTACGATCAGGAATGGCACTGCTTACATAAAAGGATATAAACTTGTATGGCTGTATCTAAACTTTACACTGTCCTATTTCTACATTTAACTGACCAGTAGATCTACTAAGATTGATGTGTAATTTCATGACTACTGGTGCCACTATACAATACTTTGATATTCTTTACAAACATCAGAAGAGCAAATAATGCCTTGCATTCTAACAAAGATTTTCTTAGAGTAAAAGCAGCTCTTAGATCACAATGTAGTTGTCTGTGTAGATTGCGGCCCATGAATACCACTATTCCTTAAGGAGGAGGATACTTTAAATAAGCAACAGATATCTCTAGGGGCACTTGGAAGTGGTAGCGTCAGCGGGGTAACAGAAGGCAAGCCTCTGTCGAACAATCATCGTCTGACATTACAGAGGTTATCAGACTTTACATATTAAAGCTGATCTAAACAAGTTACTATGATTGCCAATCCCTATATTGTGGTCTAAAAGCACAATTTTGGGACGTCATACACATACATAAAATTTCTTCCCTAGAGCCTCAAAAGCGATTTTACTTCAGGACTATGACCAATAGTTAGCAAACTCATCAGATAACACAAACACTCTCACATAAATTTTGATTATCGGTACTTGCTAAAAAAAGACATTAAGATTTACTGAACGTAGTTTCATATATTTGTATACTAAGGAACAATTAACATGCTAATCTATATTTGGCAAATCCTTTGAAATCTCATGAATATTCATATCCAAGCACTCCATAACGAACATTTATTGCATCATCCGACATAGTTCTTAGCAGTCAAACATTGTTTTGCTTTAATGGACAAACGTGACATGACCTAATGTACAGTTAAGCCTTTGCAGTGTGGATCAAAGAATGCATGAAAACAACTATTTAAATGAAATATTAAAGTTACATTCTGATAGCCTGACATTATATTACCGGGGTGCGGGGAGGGGGGTGATTTTTGGATAACACTGAAGGCTGCACACAAACTTAGACATTTCATGGTGAAAATTTGATGTTTCCATTATGCTTCATACACTGTTTTTCTACTGTACATCCTCTGTATACTGTATTTAATCTCACAAACCTTGTTGACATTGAAGACTAGGCAGAGCCTTGTTGACTTCATGACGTGGGACACTTAGGAAAAAAGTAAGGTGCAAGAATTAGTACCATATATACTTGCATATAAGACCAGGCTTAAAATAGCAAATTACGATGGAAAAACAATGTCAGTATGAATATAAGCAATTTTAAATATGGGGAAATACAAAAATCATCAAAAAATCTTCTCAAACTCGGGGGTTTTATATATAAGCCTTTAAATATGAAGTTGGCTCTCAATCTTGGAAGAATTTTAATTTTAACAGCATAAAACAGCATATTCTACCTAACTAGAATGTATTCCCATAATTTATTTTTGCAAACCACAACATAATTGTCGTTGAGCCAAATGTGCTTACAGGCTACACTTTGCCCACTTGTGCTACCAATTCATGGAAGGATTAAATTCCATTTTCTTTTGCTAATTTGGAAATCATATTATATTATCAGTAGTTTAATAATTACACAAACTGTATTTATATGTTCCAAGGTACACTGATAAAAATTTTTTTAATGTTTTCAAAACTGCTTCTTCATAATAAATAATAATTTTAATTCATATTGATTTATATACAGTAGCACCCTACACTAGAGTCTCAAAGCGCTCACAGGGTGGACTGCAGTACTGAAACTACAGGTCTCTTCGTATCTTAGCTACCCAGTATGGCTGTCTCTTATACACATCTTTGCCCTTCAGTTGTGGAGCCTTTGCAGGATGTACCTATTACGATTTATATAATACGTGTATAAACGAAAAAAATTTAAAAAATGAAAAAGCAATACAATAAAAACCAATAAAATGAATAGAAATAACATAGTTAAGTTTAAATAAATTCTCAAACAATACAAAAATCATCAAAAAATCTTCTCAAACTCGGGGGTTTTATATATAAGCCTTTAAATATGAAGTTGGCTCTCAATCTTGGAAGAATTTTAATTTTAACAGCATAAAACAGCATATTCTACCTAACTAGAATGTATTCCCATAATTTATTTTTGCAAACCACAACATAATTGTCGTTGAGCCAAATGTGCTTACAGGCTACACTTTGCCCACTTGTGCTACCAATTCATGGAAGGATTAAATTCCATTTTCTTTTGCTAATTTGGAAATCATATTATATTATCAGTAGTTTAATAATTACACAAACTGTATTTATATGTTCCAAGGTACACTGATAAAAATTTTTAAAATGTTTTCAAAACTGCTTCTTCATAATAAATAATAATTTTAATTCATATTGATTTATATACAGTAGCACCCTACACTAGAGTCTCAAAGCGCTCACAGGGTGGACTGCAGTACTGAAACTACAGGTCTCTTCGTATCTTAGCTACCCAGTATGGTGACCATGGATTTTTTGCAGTAGTATAGTATCTTGCCATTTGAATAAATGCAAACTTCTGTTGCGTTCTGATCTATAAACATATGTGAACACCCTTTAATGCACTGCAATGTCAGCATTTTGCTCATTCTGGCTACAGTAGTTGCTCTGAGGTTATAGCAATTTGCTAATCTGCCAATAATGTACTAAATCAGAGACAGGTACTGTATATTAATGGTAAAGTATCAATAGTATGCATGTGTGCACTAATCACCATAGTTTCTAATTGACTCTGAAATGGATGCTTATTCTAGAATGTTAAGTTCACAGCATTTGGGGAAATTCTTGTTTTGTATTTTTGGTTTTTTTTAGACACCCAAAAATAACATCTTATGCGATTTTGGGCGATCGATTGTTGACAGTGTCCTCAAGTCCTTGCTCAAAATACTATCGTGTTGTCTTAAATAAGCGGCATTGTATTAAACAAATGTATTATGTATCTCAAAGGAGCATTTTTATCATAAGGTACAGGTATCATGACAGTTTTTTTAACTAGCCAAGTGGACCATTAAATTAATATTTTTACTGGTCCTCAATCCCTCTTACTAGCCACTATCTTGCACAACTTCGGAAGACCCAAATACCATATTTTTGACATGCTATCATGCTTCCCCTCACCGATGAAGTAACACCGACAGATACAGAAAAATCGTTATGTTGTCCCTGTATGAAATTATGCCGCGAAATGTAAATACAGGAATCTATTTGTATGTACAGTGCACTCTCACAGATGTTCGCTACGATGTTCGGTCTTCCGGAAAGATCGGTTTGTGGAACATTTCTATTGAATCCTTTCCGAATAAGGCAGGCCAGTTAGGGCCTAGCTTGGACGCTAAAAATAGGCTTAGCATAGGCCAGTGAATTCTGAATGACTAGCCTACGAAAAGTTAACTTAACTTAATTTTTAAGTATTCATATGGCGATAATGGACATTATTAAAACAATGGAAGGCATAACTTTCACTTTATCTAACATTTTACTGGTGTGTCGTTTTAATGAATAGATAATCTCCATGGCAATGCTATTGGGACTGTACGAACGGTTCATTCACAGGGTGTGATTATTGCGTTATTTCGTCTGGAAATCGTTGCGCTGTTTATTAACTTTTTGTTCCACATTGCATTGTGGGATGGATACATGACATGGATGTTTTAACTTCACAGTGTTAACACAGACGGAAATCAACTTCTCCTTGTCGCTATAACATGCGGAGAAGGTGATTTCCCTCTGTACGTCTAGCCATGGATTCCTCCATGGTCTAGCTAGTGTGTGTTGTTCATCGGTTCGCCTTGAATGACTGAGCCCAAGGCTGTTCGTAGCGGACATAACATGACAATAAACAGAAAATAGCGATCTTGTTGACATTATCTGTGTGAAATATTTTGTGAAGACATCGTTAAGAGGTGAATGAGTAAAGCTTTAGGTATTTCGTCAGACTTTTATTGACATTTTAACTGGTCACGCGGACTTGTTATTGGGATAATTAACAGGTCCGCCATGCATTTTACTAGTCATTGGCTGGCGGACCAGCGTCATTTCGAACCCTGGTAAAAACTTTTTTTTATACTCTACTTTCTAAAATTTCCAGCAGGCCAAATTAAAATGTAACATTTTTTTTTTACTACAACTTTGTGAAACAAGGTATAAAAACAGTCTTGCACTTATTCATCCTGTATTAACTATTATTAGTTAACTAAAATCATGCTCCAAAAAATTAAACAGGTAAGGAAAAGGAATTCAAATTCTTCTTCACAGGCAGTATTGACTATCTCTTTCAAGAATACAACCTAAAATATACATGATACAATGTCACTAAAAAAGCAGAATGTTTAGATTCAACCTATCAAAAAAAAACACATTTTAGCCGTTCAATAACAGCTTGGAAATTATGGTTAATGAACAGCCTGACAGGGGCTCATATATAGCTGTTCAAAGCTTGCTATCATCTGTACCGAAACTTTAATACCTACTTAGCAATGTCAATAAATTATATTTTAACCTGACACCCAATATAAATGGACACAGAATGTCAGAGGCTGAGATCTGAGTGTGAGTTTATACAACAAATAAAATGTTTGGAAGTTTATATTAATAGTACACTAATTGATATTAATATGTAAAGCATAAGTCTGTAGGATGTTATGCCATTAGGTAGTTATAATTCTTCTTATGATTTTGGAGGTAAGGTCCCAATGTTGAAGAGGATATTAATGGGTTCAAATCAAATATTTAAGAATTACCATACTCAACAACTAAACAAAATGCAAATATGAATACTAATAAGGATTAGGCTTAAAATTTACAAGGCCAAAAAATTGTTTTGTTGTCAAGCACATACAGTATTTGAAAAGCAGGGTGAGCTTTTTTCCTACCAGCATAAGCTTAATTCTCGGGTTCATTGTAAATAATCACAAACCCACTACTAAGGTTGGTATTTAAAGTTAACAAAAGAGCAAAAATCTATAGCTAAAAAATTATCACATTTAATCATTGAAGTTTTAAACATTGTCTTTTGAAACATCATACAAGTACCGGTATTTCAATTGCCTGCTTGATAAGAAAAAACATATTTTTATGACTTTGGATCAGATAGGCTCAGGCAACAACAAAAAGGATCAGCCCAAAATCAAGTCAAATCAAATTTATTTCACTGGCAACATGGATTACATACACAATTCAATCAAGTAAATAAAAAAAAAAAAAAAAAAGCAAGCAAGGGTTGCTGAGTGGGCATACATAAGCCCATATAAACAACTCCCCTATACAGATTAATACAATTTATAGAAGGTGTACACGAAACAATTTGTTCTGGAACTTGTTTTTTACTCTGATTTTATACTTTACTGCTTTTTTTTTCTTGATAACAATATCAGTTGACATGTTTCTAAATTTTGAGGAGAAAACAAGTAATAATTTTTGGACTAACTTCAAAATTTTAATATAATCTCATTATCATCTAACTGTTATTTAGTTATCCTTCCATGCAGCAGCAGGAAACCTAAAAATAGGGAATATTTTGAATTGAATTTCTACAGAATATCTGCTTGAATAAGGGTCGCCAATTACTAGTGTTTGAATACTACACAAACTATAGTAAACGATACACTTAATGTGGAACATGCTCAGGTTTAGTAAGAGGGTAGTGTATGATGAACTTAATACACCAAAAATACTCATTCCCCTCAGGAAGTATCATAAGAAGAGAAGGCAAAAAGTACTTTAGACTGAGCAAGAACAGACCCACCCTATCAGTGGCGGCTCCTAAGATTCCTGACTAAGGGGCGAATATCCCCAATGAGCAGGAGGGTGGGACACATCTCAGTCCCACCATGGTTGGAGTAAAGTTTAAGAATATGCAGTGTTGTCCAACAGAGGGTCATGGTCCCCCTGGGCCCCAGCTGACATCGCAAATGTGCCCTTAACAGTATGTGGATTATGTGAAGAAAATCTATTAATGTATTTCTGCATTGCCATGAAATTTTTAAAGGTCTCAAAATAGGTGGCTGATATAATAGGCCTACTCAAAGCAGATTGCAAGGTTTTTGACAGAGTAACTCCTGAAAAAAATATTCTTTCCCAGAAGCATGTGGTGAAATTCTCTTCTTGTACTGTAGGCTTAGTCTTAGACTAGAGTAGACCAAGCCCATGATTACAATATTATTAATTCTGTTTTTGGTTCCATTATTTTCTAGCAGCCTTGTTTATCATGTAAGCAATTGAAATGTAGTCTTGTTCAACTGTTGCGGCGCAAGCAAGGGGTTAGGGGGAAAACAGGGGACAACATGGATCTCTGTCGCCCAACGTCATAAAAAAGTTGTCAGACAATGCTATTGTTAATGTCAATCTATAATAGTGTCATCTAAAAAAAAGGCAAATTTGTTGGGCCACCCTAGGCTAGGTAGACTAAAAAGCACCACCTCTTCCTATGATTTAGTGACCTTGTTGGACTTTCCTCAGTCTGCAAATTTTTGGATCCACCACTCACTGCTCTTCCATTCACAATACTAAATAACCAAATGGATAGGCCAGGTACAAAAAACAGCAACCAACATAAATAGGCCTAGCTTAGGCTGGCTTTTATAGGTTCAATCAAGGACATTTGTTGAATAATATTCAGGCTTAGGGCTTAGGCCCCTAGGTCCACTGGCTTCAATATTGTTGCCCCGGTCCGGTATTCTTGCTGCCCTGCCCATCGATAATTATCACCACGTATGACTCTGATGCTTGCCAAGTAACCAAAACGATGTAAAAAGATGTCGCCTTACAAAGTCACTTAAGTGCATGTCTGATAAAATTAAGCCTAGAGTAGAAAATGATGTGATTGTCACTTACCAATTTATAAGAAAAGCATGTTTGCTACCTTTTCATGACGAAAACGCCTTTTCTCGCGTAGGCCGCCTAGCCTGGTTAGTTATCGCTGTGTTATCGACCCACCAACATGAACAGGCAATAAGCATAACTCATGCGTATGGAAGGCAAAATGTGTTATAATCATAAAGCTATTAAACAACTAGAGTGCTGACAAGATGGCGCAGCAATGCAGAGTTATGTGTGTGTACCATCCAAGATGGCCGTCGTAGTAAAGCGCCACCTTCAGGCTTAGTATACATATTATTACACATTAATAAGCCTTCTGACTGACTATTATTTCATTAATCATAATGAGTAATGGTAATAACAAATTAATTAACTATTGTAGCCAAAACGAGGCCAAGTGGAGCATCTTATTCAAAAATAAAGTACCAAGGAATGAAAATTAAAATCGTGTACATTACGCCCAAACACCGCAACGCTCGAGTTTCAAACATACAGGTAACTACTGTACTGAACTTTCTGTGTAACTTGAGGGCGCAATTGCAAACGATGGCGCTTAGACGAAATTTGATTGGCTAAATCTATGGCAGCCATCTTGGATGGTACACACACACAGTTCTGCGTATTTCGAACATCGAATACATTGCGGTTAGCGCTCTAGTATTCTTATTATATCTCTATGGTTATAATCGACTTTCTGGTGATTTTCCCATTTAAAATAGGAAAAGGTTTTTACGTTCATCCTCTTAGTAACTGCGCATACGGATACAAAATATTGAAAAAGAAAAAAAGATGAAGAAGGAGAACTCTTAAATTCTTTACGGCCACTGCTTTAAAGATGTACTATCAGTCATGAGGTAAACAAATTAAAAATTTTAATTTCAAATTTGAATTGCAACTTTGTATATTACTCCATGGTATGCTTTTGTATACCATGGAGGGGAAAAATGTTGACATGTTGTGCAACTGATTTTCCTAAGACAGAAAAAAAGTTGTTTGATGAAAAACTGGGGAAAAATCAGTTCTAAAACATAACAAAATGTTTTTCCCTCCGGAGCCTGACTTTAAATTAAAAACTTGTCTGAAAAAAAATTCATACTTAATTTTCAGAGTGTTCAATAATAACTTTACTGTAAACATTTGCATAGATCTTTAAATTGACTGGTTATCAATTTGAATTTTGTAGTAAACTCTCTGTAAATCGGTGAAAATTATACTTTTTTAAAATCACTTTTTATGCGTTGAAAGCTAATCATTTATTGGATCCTTTAAAATGAGCTTTTAAAAGATTTTTTAATTTATTTTTGAGCTATTTTCCTGCCTTTTTGACTGCCAGTACATTTTAATAACTAAACAAAGTTACCTAAGCTTACACTGTTAATTAATTTTAATATGAAAAACATGATCAAAGTGTTCATGAAATAAGATTATAAATAATAAATAATAATAATAATTTATAAAGCGCCAATATCACTAAACCGAAAGTAAAAATCAAAGGCGCTGTGTATGTTTAAATGTTAAAAAGGTGTGTTTGAGTTCGGTCTTAAAAATAGAGAAACTTGGGCGATTCAGCAACATGTTTATGGAGGGGATCCAAAGAGCGGCGGCCGAAAATAAAGTGACCTGTTGCCATAGGATTTGGTGTTAACTTTAGGAACCATGAGCAAATTAATGTTAGAATGGAGGGAGGATAAAGGGACATATTTTATTCTATCCAATACTGACCACATAATATGTTCATTAAACATAAAATTACAATCGGACTGCAACGGGATATTCAACCATTCAAAATGTTTCAATAGGTCTACAATTGATACTGGAATAAATTTTAAAATCTTAACTGCTGAACGAATGAAACTCATATTAGAAGTTCGGGCGGATGTAGGGCACAAGTGGGTATAGATTTGCTCCAATGAATGAAGATTAAGTTAAATTGCGAAATGCTGGACATTTAGCTATGTGCATTTTGTTATTACACTAAAACATTACAAGGTTATTATATAACAGCTGGGCTGACAATATCCAAGTTATTTGTCAAAAAATAATGTGACTTATATGGTAAACTGGTAAACTAAGAGTCATATCATGAATCATGATGACTGACATCGACCAGCAGGTGACAGGGCTGTGATGGATCCAGAGGGTGGCAAAAGGGGTACTCAGCGGCAGATTCAGGGTGTGCACCAGCCTTGGCCCCGACCCTAAATCTGTCAAAATTATTTTATAAAATAAATAAATAAAAAAATAAATAAAAATAAAAAAAATATATATATATACAAAATTAATTACTATTTACGGGCAACCATAATAAATTGTGTTACAGTACCTCAGACCAAACCATGGTTGCGATGAGGAGGTCTACACCCTCCGCCTGATAAAGTCCCTCCTTGAGCCCCCCTCCATTTCAAATTCCTGGATCCGCCACTGGTTATTGTTCTCATTTTTTAAATCACCATCACAACTGCTATTACTAACAACATAACCACCTCACCACAACCACCACCACCACCACCCAAATTTTTGTTGCGCACTATGATCAAAATACAGCAATGCAACTAAACAACATAGAAAAATAGGGAAAAAAAATATTTTGTCCATTTTATTTCGTCTACTATCTTTAGGATACAAAGTCATCAGCAGAAAAAAAAATGATGATTTAATACTAATAATTATATTCATAAATCATACACAGATAATTGTGTTCAATCACTATACAGAATAGAATTTCTGTTTTCAATGGTCAAACTCAAAAATCTAAATTGCAATGTTCAGAATATTGAACATCTTTTCGCACTATTCTAGCTTGTAAAAAAAGTTGGTAAACTCTACAAATTTACCTGTCTCTTATACACATCTAGATGTGTATAAGAGACAGCTAATAATCTTTGTCTTGGTATTTTTAAGATTAGAAAATATAACCCAACCTACAACAAATTATCAGATATTTTTAGTCGCAACTTTGAAAATATGAAGATTAAAACGAAATTAATGCTGAAAAATGAATTCAACTTTTAGTTTTATAAATACAGAGAGTTGAATTACACAATATCTCAGAAATTTCCAAACAATTTTGCCAGAGGATACTTGCAGTACACACTAAACTACAGTATATACTTTTTAATTGTGTGTCTGTTTAGAAACATCAATTTCTGTTATACTTTGGAAACAAATATTGTGAGCAAATTTCAAATATTGCAATCAAACATTACTGTAATCACATTGGGTTAACAATTATGTTTTTGAATTTTTATACAATATTGTTTTATATAACAAAGTGGTTAATGTCCACCGACCCACTGATTACTTAAATTTCTGCATAATATCTAATTATTGAAAATTACAAAACAGGATTAATCATTAGGAAATTTATCAAACAGTTTAGTATTCTGCATTTATCTTTGTCTTTTACTGTCCTTGAAATCTCGAATGTGTTGACTGATTTTCATTAATCATCTGATTATTTTTGTTCAAGCGTTTTTACTCTTGCTTCCAGCGTCTCAACTGTTGACTTCAGCTTCTGAACTTCTTTCTTCAGGGCTGTAAATTCATCCTGAAAAAATACAGAAATTGTAGGCATCATTCAATTTTATCATAACATTTTTTTACCTTCATTGCCTTCCATATGTGCAAAATGGAAAAACTGATGAGGGCAGTATAATAAAAAAAAAAACACACACCTACCAAATCATTAAAAATATGGGGAAACCATATTGTTGAACCAACCAATGTAAAGTCCTGTCCAGACTATCAAATTGTATTTGACAAAAACATGTAACATTCCTTAATATAGTGTGGACAGAACTTAAAAAGAGTCTAAGCAAAGAATAGAATAATACGTCCAATATTTGGAAAAAAAAAAACATATTTTTTAAATTCTTAATATTCAATTGGAAGCTAGTAGATTATACAAAGTAATAAAAAAATTTTTTTTTTCCCCAATTTTCTTAAAACCTCAAAAAAGACATGGAAATATGCCTGTATTCAGATGCATGTCCATAAACATTTTAGTTAGATTTTTTCTTGGCAAACATTTCTGCTATTCACAACTTGTGTACAACAGGCTTAACAATGCATTGTGGGTATGCTGATAGTAGCATGACCAACAATTTCTGCTGTATTCACAACGTGTGCGCAACAGGCTTGACAATGCATTGTGGGTCTGCTGTTGTATGATCAAACATTTGTGCTGCATTCACAACTTGTGTACAACAGGTTTAACAATGCATTGTGGGTATGCATATTAATTACCTCTCCTCCTTCTCCTCCTGCTGGTTTGATTACTTTTTTTAAACCTATTCCTGCTTTCTTTGTAGTACTGTTGGATTTGACAGATTGTCCATTAAATGAAGCCTGGAAGCTCATTTTGTTGGGTTTGGCGTTTTTGCCGCTGACCCACTCAGATGCGGACAGTGCTGGAACATCAGAATTTGTATCTGGAAATATGTCTTCCTGGAACGTGTCAGACTGGAAAAGTGAAAAAAGATTTTTCAAATAAACACAAAAGCAAATCAATCGGCTTATACAATGCTAATGGCCGAGCGGTTAAGCCAAGGGCGCCATAATATCAGCGCTGGTTCCAACGGGACGCTCTCCTATGGTTCTGGAGGTGGAACAAGTTTTCTCAGATAAGGACTATAAACCATAAGCCCAGTATACACAATTGGCACATGTGCACTTTGAAGAACCCAGTACATCTTGCAAGATGAGTGGGGGGGGGGCCTACCCCATTGTACTGGTCCATATAGCCCCTGTTGTGGACAGACGAGAGCAGCTGGTGCCGGTTTAACGGGTAGCTCAGACACGAAGAGACCCTCGGGGGAGAAAAAAGTTACTGTACGAGCTAATCCACGCTTTGAGCGCTGGTGTAAAGTGCTATGTAAATTCAACCATTATTTTTATTATTATTAATGTATATGAAAACCTTAACACTTAATACTGCAGCATAATAGGTGAAAAATGGCAGCTTATTTATTTAAATGAACCTTTCTGGAATGTCAATCAAACTAGAAAACTGACCAATAAGAACAGGGGCAAGAATAATGTGCATCCTACAACCACACATGTTGTCCCAAAAATGCACAAGTTTCCATACATTTTATGCTATTGTTTTGTGGGAGCTTAGCAACAATATCCATAAGGAGGAGGGACTTAGCAGAAAATACTGTTAGCTTCCATGCTCACCATACAAATATATAAAACATATCACATTGTCATTTTAAAAACTGAGCAAAAAAAAAAATGTTCACTAACCTTTCTGGGGACAATCATTGATGAGACGGATATTATATTTTTGCTCTCGTATCGGTAGAAGCGGCAGATTTCTTTTAAGTGTGGATTGACCGCACGCTTGCAGACAGTTCCAATTCGATTATGTGCCGTTGACTCTACATAGTTACTCAGAAAGTGAAGATATGGTGCATCTTCTACTAATTCGTAGTATCGGACAGCAGCATCTCCCTGTGTAAGACAACAATCATACAATTTTATTTATCGGTTTTATATATGACAGCAATAAAGATTTAACAAATCAAATTTTTATAAACATCTTCATTTGCTTAGTCATATTTCTGTGAAAAAATTTTTTTAATCATTTTAGCTTAACTCTACATGCATCACACATGCACGCATACACATACATATGAAAAGTATATTAACATTATTTTAAAAATACAAATCTCAATAATAAACTATTGATTTTGGAATCTGTTTTGTCAAAAATTACATCCCTGATATCAAATGAATTAAATATTCATAACTTTGCTATACTCAACTAATTTCCATCCAACAAAAAATAAGAATTCATGCAGTATAAAAATACCAGAAACTTAATTTTGAATATTTCCTACAAATGGCTGGTTTTGCCAGAGCTGGTCAAACGTATGTAGACCACAGCTTACCTTGCCAGTTAGAAAAACAACATTGAGATCTGAATCATAGTAAATATGCAGGGGACTATTACTTGTATCCAAAGACGTTAGTGTAAGTTTTTTCTGGTCAGTCTAAGATAAAGAAAAACAAAAGCTATATTATTAAGTACAAATATTTTATTTTTTTAAATCCTTTATTTCTCAACATTCAACATGGCAATTGGCTGCGCCCTTCAGAACATTGCTGCGCCATCTGACGCCCCTACAACATATAATATACATACAAATGTTCCTTAAGCCACCTCTCAATGTCAGGGTTATTCAAGGAGCCAAACACCCACACTCTAATTAAAATCAGATGCTCGCCAGGTTTCAACTGGATGTACAGCCCAAGAAGTGGGAAGAAGGTTTACCAGTTGTTAAATGGCGATCTTGAGACTAAAAAACCTAAAACTAGGATATATGAGATACTATCAGTAATTTATTTTTAGTTGTAACTTATGGCTTTTCAGAATTACTTTGGTCCATTCAAGTTCATTGAGAACATCCACTAAAATACATATTAATATATTATTATTTGATATGATTTATACAGCGCACACATTTCACATACACATAGAGAATAAATCAGGTACAATGTTGAGATTTCCTTGTCACGGGCGTCATCATAGGATGGGCTGGGTGGGTCTACCCAACAATTTACAAAAAAAATGCTCAACTGTTGATTTCGACAAAACAACAGGATGTTTGTATCATTGTAGGGGTAGGCGGCAAAAAAATCAAGTATTCAAAAATTACCTATCGCCTTACCTTGCGAGCGCATTGGCACCCCCAACCCCCGCCATTTCAAGACTCCTAGATACGCCACTGGAGGGAAACATAAAGGCCGTTTTCCACTAGGTGAATTTATTTGCGCGAATCAAAAACTTGTACCCGTACGCATGCGCATTTGAGAATCTTGTGATTAAACTGGGCATGCGTAGAGGCGAAAATTTTAGATTTGCGCGAATAAATTCCTCTAGTGGAAAATGGCCTCAAAGTGTCTTGCCAAAGGACATAGCCGGTGTGCTCAGTGTTGGCCTCAAACTTACAACTTCACAATTAAAAGTCAAAACCTTAAGCACTTGACCATACAGTCGTACGTACCTGGCTCCATGCAGCCAACTCACGTTCACTCATTCTAGAGAATCCAGTCGACAGAAACATATTATAGTTAGCATACTCTATAAACTGCGGTTTAGATCCTTGATGACCGTCCCATTCCTAAGGAAAATTTTGAAATAAGTGATTAGTATAGTTATTATTCCAAACAATAGTTGGAAAATAGTACATGATGGAGTGATTAGTGTATAAAAATTAAATTTGATAATATTTAAATTTAATAATAATAATAATAACAATAATAATAATAACAATAATAATAATAATAATAATAATAAATATTTATATAGCGCCAATAAAATGACGTGTTGAAATATTAATTATCATTGGGAATGTTTTATCAATAGAATAACATTCAGATGCAATATGCAATTTCATAAAATGCTGATAAATCTTACCACTAAATACTGTATATTATGTCGACAAACTTTCTATCCAGAATGTGAATTTTATGTGCAATAAAATCTAACATATAATATAATAGATGTGTTTACAAAATGACAAAATGTCTGTACCGATTTCTTTTCTAATGTACGTGTATCCAGGACTCTGAATTTCTTGTCCTTACAAGAAACGACTATGTTGGATCCGTCCTCGTTAAGGCTCATTGAATAGAGGAAGCCAGGAAAAGAGCAGGATGCTATAGCCTCAGCCGACTCCAGGTTCCATACTATAATATCACAATCAGCAGCTGTGAATGAATAAACATACAGTTGAGACTGGTGCACTGTAAGTGCAAGTAATTCATTCAAGTAACTGAGTAAGATTTGCATGCTTCAGAAAACGAAATTAAAACCCTTCCAAATAATTGACTGTTCTGATTCTTCCGTATGGTGACCATGTACCCAGTTGCCACTTAAAATAGCTCTCTGTAGTGAAGACACTACATTTCGTACAATGTATATAAAGGTCATTTTGGCTCTAATCAACCACCACTATTTTTGGGGGTGTATAAACATTCTAATAAATTAGGCTATCCAATTTTGAATGGTATTTCTTGAAAGGGGGGGGGGGGACAAATACGTCTATGTATCAACTTTTTATCTTCAATATTCCATAAGATATAGCTTTGTAATAACTGTAATACAAAGTTATAGGAGCCATTACCTGAATGAAAAAAGGGGCGTGGTATCTAGAAAAAAAAGTCATAATTATTTTTTTTTAAACTGCTTGAAAATTCAAGCTGAAATTTTGGATTCTTTCTTTCTGAAATTTCAAGGTATTTTTTTAAAGAAAAATCCAACAGGTTCACAGGGAAACTTTGAAAACTAAAGGAAAATGTGTCTTTAAATCTACATGTTAATATAGTCTACCAAATGTACAACTCTCAATACAGGGGATCTAACAGAACATAACAGTAGATAAAAAAGCATGTGTATACTATAAGTCTAGTCTTTTGTTTATAAAGTAAACAACTCATTGTGTGCAAAAATGATTACAAAGATATCATTTTATCAAACATTGACCTGTGTGTAATAATTATAATAATAATACTATATGAATGTTTGAAGTACACCACATAGGTAGTTCTGAAAAGAACTGTTTGTTGAGAATCGAAACGTCAAGACATTCTCAACAAACATCAGTTTTTTCAAAACTATCTACATGGTGTACTGCAAACTTTAATATATTGTTACTTCGCCATGCAAACCTTCAAACAATATTTAATAATAATATTAATAATAATAATATAAATTTAAATTACAAGTAAAATTTGCTTAATACTGTGATGGTTTACATCAATGTAAAATTAAAGTCAGGTACAACCACTCTTTTTATATTTTATATTTTAACACATATGTATAGAGGATGACCCTTCTAGCATATCCTAGAAGGTCGGCTGATATTCAGAGAGCCCGCAAATAAATAAAATAATTTGCTTTTATCAATGAAGTCTTTTTATGAGGCTTAGGGAATGGAGCTGTTTTTAGCCCCAGTAAGTGCCCAGCTTAAGGAATTTGATCGAAATATACTAACATGCAGAAAATAAAATATTCTCAGCTGAGCAATGCCAGGTCAACAGCTGCACCCGGCGTTGATGGTCGGAAAGTTCTAGAAGCGGTTCAGTTATCGATTCCTTAATACCGCCGTCTGGAATTTCCCAGATTTTGATTACGCCTTTGTCATCTCCACTCGCAATACAGTTATCGTTGAAAGGATTCCAGGCCAGGACCAGTACATCTTTCTCATGGCCTTCCACCTTGGGGAAGCTTTGGTCCAGTCGCCCATACTAAACAAAGAATATAATAAATGATTAGTGAACACAATTTGGGGGGTACTGTTGGAAAGTGGTCACCCGAAAAAGCCATTATTGCTGGAAAAAAATTCAATTAATAAAATTTAAAAAATATTAAATTTTAATATTTAATAACAAATGCATACATTCAAGCACTTCTCCATGTCTGTCTTTACTGCGGTTGGCTCTTGGCCATAGCCACATCGAACCTGAAGTAAAAAAGTGCTTCATAAACTGCAAGGAAAAACGCTACACAACATGGAAATACTGATACATACCTTTTCAATCGGAAGAACCCCAAATGCTCCTCCACCACCCGTCTTAACAACAAAAGCCAAAAACTTCGCGTTTGCTGTGATAACCACACCGTCAAAGTTGATTTCTGTTAACCGCACATTGGTAAAAGTGTTTTCATTTGCATACTTCTTCCCAAAAATGTGACGAAATTTACTTGAGCGCACAAAGGCCATCGATCTAGAAGTATTAAAACATAACAATGAAGAATAAAAGTTTACATCTACTGTATTCTGACCCATACATAGTAACATATAGGCCTACACTAAACATTTACTTTTTTCAATCATATTTTCCCTTGCAATTGCAAGGCCCATTTCACCTACATACAATTATACAAAATTGCACAACTTCAAAATGTAAAACTCAATTTTGTTGTTCACGTTGTTTTTTAATTTTATTATTATTTTTATTTATTTATTATTATTAATATTATCTGCCAACCAATTAAAAATGCAGATAATACAGTACTAATATTATCATGTTCATGGTAATACTAATCTGTTGCTGTAGAGCAAACTGGCAAATACCATGGGGGAAGAAAAAAAAAGGAGGCTTCTCGAGCTGGAGTTATCATTATAATCCCCTATAATCCAGTTAGCAACATTCAGTGGCCTATCCTACAGCATTGCGATTGTTTATTGTACCCCGCTGCGTTTATCAGTTTCAAAATCGTTTAAACATGTACCGCTGTATCGCTGTAAGCCGAGCTCATCTCCGACCTCTATCGACAAATTATGCCGTGTGGAGTAAAGAAATATACACACCAATGACCAAATGAGGAATTGTAAGCCTACTAGTCTTCGGATCCATTCGGTATTTTTAATCAGCTTTTCAAAACGCAAATTTTTGTACCAAGAACGCTAAGATCGAACAAGAAGAAGTCATGTTTTTAATTAACATAAGTTTTACTTATTTTCAAAAAGTTGTTTTATGACACATGGATTTATCCTTTTTCCACTTTTCGGCACATTTTGGCATGTTAAAATTAAGTCAAAATAAGATTTTTACAAATTCACACAAACATCTGACATTGAACAAGGATCCAAGCATTGCCTGTAACATTTCAGAATATATGGTTGCCCATGTGCCAACACCCTCGCGAGAGGGCAGCGTTTTTTAAGTCTTTTTAAATTTGATTTTAATCTTTAATATCATGTATTTTTAAAACAAAATTTATTTTTTTCATAGGTTTACTGTACATGCTTACTTTGTGTGCAAGTGCTACTCCATGAAGCTTAACAGGTGGAAGACAAAAACTAAAAAAATGCTAACTTAATATTAACGAAAAAAAGTGAAGACAAACATAATTATTTGTTCATTTGATGATGGTATTTGCCATTCGTGTGGCGAACAGGTCGTTCCTATGCAAAGTATGAAGACCTTAGCGGAATATGACAAAGAGGCTAAAGATGCTGGCTTGGTGACCTGGTAATCTGGTGAACAATTATAAATTGTGAGATTGACGAATGCAGGTTTGGTCATTATGCATTTGACGGTATTAGAACAATTTGATTGGAAGCTTACTGTAGCTGGAATGGAACTCAAAAATAAGCTTGATAATTTTAATGTGGCTTAAAGATGAGTTTCTAGGTTTCCTGGATGAATGGAAGGCACAGGTCAACGGAATAGACAACGTAACCAGTTCCACTAAGAAGAAAATTCTACTCAGTCAAGAAACTCTAAAAGGTTTAAGAATAAATAGGTTAGTGGAATTATATGTCCTAAATTTTTAAGATTGTAATTACCATACTGTGTACTATGTGGACAGAGACAGTACCCACCTTAGCCCTACCATGGCTGGGGCTGATGTGCGACATTTTTTTTATGGATACTTAGGCACTGTAGATGCCCAGAAAAGACTCTTGTGTGCATGCATTTTAGGGCATTTCTTGGAAACCCCACTCCACACTACCCCTCCACACCACCCCTGGCTACGGGCCTGTAACCTATAATTTTACTTACCATTGCTTTGTGCATTGCTAATAATTATAGAATTTTGTTGTTTTTTTCCTACAGTTAACTCATTTGTAGAGCTTGGCAAGAATCTGTTGGATCATCCTAATGTTAAGTTTCTTCTAAGTGATAAATTGAACCAGGACCTGCTAAAAAACTATTTCAGTAAGTAAAGAGGAGCTGGTGGAAGATGCGAAAATTTAACGGTGGCACAGTTTGGGCATAACATGCTTGCCTTGTATGTTGCTTCAGACTGCGCAAAAGCTTCAAAGCGAGGGAATAGCAGGGTGATTGACAAATAAATTCATCTGGATGACGCACCACTGCCAAAGCGAAGGCCTGTTAACTACTAAATCTATTGTAACTACTTAAATCCATGTAACAAGCTGTTACAGATAAACATTGGATGTAAATACTGTAAACATTGCTTTAGTACTACTGTACAGCAAAGATAATGAATGTAAAAATATTTTTTTTATATAGTATATATATATATTTTTCTATTGGTTTTGAGAATTTGAATACCAAAATATTAAAGGCAATTTTTGGGTTGTTAAATTCTTGCATTTTCTCTATATATTTTGTCTATACAGTTGAACTTGCCTAAATCGAATCCAAAATGCCACTGAAGTACCGTACTCGCGCGAATAAGCGCCCCGTTAAAATAAGCGCCCCTCTCGAATAAGCGCCCCTTGTTTGGCATCGCATCCATTTTTTTAATTGTCAAGTGCTTCCTTGTTTCTAATTCTAGGTTTCTAAAAAACAAATAAACAGAAGACTTATTTCCAGTTGGGTCCTTCTGGTGGTGATTGGGCAATACACCGGGAGACAATCACCTACTCTTTTCAAAATAGTGCACTGCATTCCTTAACGTGCATATGGGCCATAATGCACACAGGACCAACGGCTTAAACGTCCCATCCAAATTGCTTTAATCACTGTCAATAATACATATATTGTACAAAATTGCAAATAAAAAATATTATAATTAAAAGATTCAAACAATATTCATCTTATACATTATTTCTTATTGATATTTTCAATCATACATTTCACAATTTGATTTTAAGACATTACAAGATGTTATAAGTAGTAAAATATGAACAAAATCAGCATCAGTTTTATGGCTACTGCTGTAGATAGAATTACATTATAAAGGTAAACAATGTTGTGTTTTTAAAGCCTTTATTCAGTAGCATACACAATTTGAATAACAAAGCAATATTGTTGATTGTATAGATTTGTATTAATTACAATGTGTTTCTAAACAGAAGCTGTTTAAGAAAATTAACCGCTCTTTTTCACTGTATTGTATATCTACTTTATGGGTGGATTTATTCGGTGCGAACACTAAGGATAACCCACAAAATTCTGAAGAAGACTTATTTTCAGTGGTGTCCTTCTGGTGATGATTGGACAGTACACCAGAAGACATCCCCATCTCCTATCTGAAGAGTGCACTGCTTTCTTTAACGTGCACATGGGCCATAATGCACACGGGACCAATGGCTTAAACGTCTCATCCGAAAGACGGTGCGCTATTGTAACTTGCATTTCAGCCCTCCAGCTGTACGGTACAAGGAGAGCAGGAATGGGAATTGAACCGGAGACCAATAAATCGCCACGGTTCAGCACACACACAGCGGCTACCACCTGTTTAGCCGATTGAGCAAACTACTCTCACATTATTGCACGTCATTAGAAAAAATAATGGTTCTTAATATTAATGACAAGTGCAATAAATGTGAATTAGTATGATTGGAAATATTGCTAATAATAAATTATTAACTATTCCTATGCTTTCAAATGACAAGCCTAAAAATATAATTATTATTATTTTTTTTATTCCTATTTCAAATGCCAAGAATAATGATGATTATTATAAATCATTCTCATTGTTCCAAAATTGCAAACAATGACAATTATTATAATCATTCTTACTTCAAACGACATTGTAATAATGTGAAATGTCATTGGAAACAATAATAATTATATGATTCTTTGTTTCAAATGATACTACAATAAAGAGAAATGTCAAGTAGAAACAATGACAATTATTATGATTTTATATTTTTTTAAATGACATTAAAGTGAAATGTCATTGGAAACAATAACAGTTTATTTGATTCTTATTTTTTCAAATGATAAGTGCAATATTGTAAAGAAGTATCAATTGGAAACAATGACAAATAATTTATGAACTCTTATCTTATAATGACATTACTGTACCAATGAGTAGTGTTAATTAAAAACAATGACAATTATTTTAAAGATTCTAATTTTCTTCAAAACGATAAGTGCAATAATGTGATGAAATGTCAATTGGAAACAATGACAACTACAATGACAACTACAATGACAACTACACACAATCACAGTAACTTCCAATCCCTGGTGACTTCCTCTTGCAATCTCCCTTTGGAGCTACAGTATTCCTATTGTGTTGGACCTGGATGGCTACTGTAGGTCTACACAATTAATATTATACCACATCCCAGTACATTACAACATGGAAAGTGACAGACATGGATTCTGACATTACAGTTGAAAGAAAGCTGTGTAAGCGCAAATAATGCACAAACAACTCCCTAACAATTACTATCATAATTAAATAATATTTTAATAGATACATTAATTAATTGTTAGTAAATATAATTACCTAACTTTAAATAATTAATATTACGGTACTAACACACATTTCAACAGAATGACAATGAATAGTACTTTCAAGGAATACATAATGAGCTGTAATAACAGAGTAAAATTCTATACCTAAAAGTGCACAGTAATATAAATAGAGTAATGACAAGTAGGTTAGCCATGTACTGTAATGAAATGAAACCATATAACATTTTGGTTGCCTATTATATGAATAATTGATTCATTCTTGATTACTATTGGGATAATCAGTAGTATCAGTTTCTCATTACGTTTTCTACTGCTAGCTAGCCTAGGCCAACCCTTCCTTCCTAGTAACGGAATCCAGGAAGTGAACGTGGTACACGGGATTACCATAAAAGGATATAATATTCTACGATGCATTTCAACTTTCTTCTATTGCCAATGCCATTGTAAAAGACAACTGTACCACCACTTGTTATAATATCCTCATTAATTCATGGCTATCATTATTATGCATGAGGAAGATGTGTGGTCAGTGAAGCATGTAAGCTGATGTGGGATGGTATAACATCCAGATAAAAATCTGTGGAGGGACTATGAGACATGCGAAGCACTGAGCTGAGTGCGGGGGGAGGGGAGGATGCTTGATATTTTTGTTTAGAAATGCCTGACCAGACAATAGCCTTAACATTGGCACTGGTTTGGGCTGCTCCTAGGGCAGGTTTCGGATGGTAGAACCAAGTCTTCTCAGGTTAATGACTTAAAATGGGAGGTCCCGTGTACATGTCTGGCTCGTGAGCAATCTAAAGAACCCATTGCATCTTCCGGTAGATTAGGGGGTTTACCCTGAAGCTACAGTATGGTTCATTTCAGCCCATGTTATTGTTGAATGATGTGAACATGTAGCTAACTATAAGCGCCTTTTTACAGCTACTACAGTAGATAGTCATAGACCATGCCAATACGCAATTCAGCATAATGACGCTGCAAGTTATGGGTTATTCTTCTACTTTTACCAATTACCATGCTCCACTTTTTTGCTTTTCTTTTCTTCTCTAGCTATTATCTCTTTTTGGGGGATATACATTGTCCCACCTCCTTTGGATCTCCCCCACATTCCACCTAATATAAGAACCTTATTTGGCATATTCTATAAGAATACATTTTACAAAAATATTGATTACTTTCATACTGTTCACTATAAGGCAAAGGTCATACTATACTATTGTACTGTATTGTAGTAAAATTATTATAAAGAATTATTTATTATTGAGAGAAGGATGAACATCATGTCAGCCTCACAATGCAACAACACATTGAATATAAACCTGCCTGGTATTTAGACAGGAAACACAAGTACAATATACAGTACACACAATTAAACTTTGAATTTCTTTTTATTAGCACCAGCCAAAAAAACTAACAAGGAAATACTTCACGGCAGCTGTATTTTACACATACAGTATGTGGGTCTTTGTCAAATCACTTTTGATGAATTATGAATTTACACAGTTCAACTGCAAAATGTGGTTTTTAATTGCACTAAGTTTTATTGAGTGCCACTGCTTCGAAGGTGTATGTTTATATAAATAAATCATAAATCATTTAGAAAGTTTGTACCATCACTACATTATGCCATAAATTACTGTTAAATCATTCACTATCACTTTTTTTTTTAAATTACTGTAGGCCTAACTAATAAAATGTTGCATTAATTACTAAATTAGCTTAAAATACGATTAACATATTTTTTAACATTCTTCTAAAATGGAATTCTATAGAGGTTTGTGTCCTTGCCCGATAAATTAATAATTTAAAGATAGTAGATGAGGTTCTTATCATATTAATTTGTATATCATTTATGCATTAACAAAATTGTGGACTGTTAGATTCACCTACTGTATACTGTTGCAGTATGCTTCTCACCCAAACTATCAACAATCTTGTAAACTTTTGAACTAGTAATGGATGAAATATAATTATTTTATTAGCATATTAATAACACATGGATAAACACAAATTTAATTTGAGTTTTCCACTACAAAGGGTGTAAACTAATAATGCTATGCAAACAAATTACATATATCCACATACATTCAAATTATTGGTACAATTAAAATTTTCAAAACCTGGGAGTTTCTACAGACATTTAGCCACATCTCATTAATTTTTTTTGTTTGCATATTGTAATGCATTCAATGTAATGAAAAACCTTTGGGATTGTCTTTGTAAAGTTAAGCATCTACACTTCAGCGAACACACTAACGTCTCTAAGTCAATACATTATAATTGCAAAATATCAGAAGACACATTTTAATGCAGCACAGATGTACAGTATGTACAGGTACCTGGCTGCCTTGTTGTAGACAAAGCCATGGTTGAAAATGGGAAGGCTACACCTGAAGTAAAATCTGGGGAAACCCCTTACAAAGATATTAAATCATTGCACATTTTAAAATATCAAATTTTTGAGACACAGCAAAACAATTCAGGTCTTGATGATTTAAGTTGTGTTATGAAAATCCTATAATTAATTTACCAGTCAGCTAATTTAATAGCCTCTGTATAGAAACAGCATTGTCAATGTTAGGAAATACACTTGTCAATTCGAGACCACCTTTGGGACCTGAAAATTTGCGGTGGTCTTGTGGTTCGGTCTCCACTTAATAGACTGAAGATTTAGTTCTTTGAAAAAGTGGTCTCGAAATTAGTTTATAGGGGTCTCAAATTAGAGGGGTCTCGGAATTAGAGGGGTCTCGGACTGGACGGTACTGTACACAGTAGTTTTACATGTAGGTCCCTTTAACTTAAAATAGTTTTTTCTAACTGAATATTAATTAATGCATTAAATAATAATGCACAGTTCCATCATGGAATGGATATGTAGGCCTACTGCAGGTCATGTTCATACCACCTAATGCACATTTTTAAAGGACATACAGGTTATATTTTATTGTCTATTGTGTTTTGGAGTTTTTTTTGTTGTTGGTAATACTGTAGCCCATAATGGATGTTGCAGATACATAATTCAATTGAATATCTATAGATATAATTAAAGCATTATGGTATCAAATATTGATAATATGTTCAATGTTTTGTAATGATTATTAATGCAATATTTGCAGTGACCAATATATATTCTTTCATATATGAAAATATAATTTTAATACATTGTGTACAGTACATAATTGAATTTATAAAATTTTAAAATATTTTTCCTATTTAAAAAAATGAGTTGCAAATATTTAATAAATTTTTAGATATCTTTTTTTCTTTGGTTAGATTTCCTGTTTATTGTTCACATGTGAAGTGAGAGTAAAGTTGACATTGAAATAAAAATGCAAACATTTTCATTCATTTTTCATGCACAGTATTAAATTATGTCTGTCACTGTTCCAACTACTGTTTTGTAAGTTTAATATTCAACAAATTTAAAATATGTTTTAATTCATTCTTTAACAAAATTGTAATACATTAAACTTTTATCAAACAATTGTTATCAATTTCTGAAATGTTGAAAAAAAAAATTATTTCCTGATAATTTGCCTGAAGCACACTAGACCCAAAATAAATTTTTGAATAAAATAATGGGTTTAAGGATTCTTTTTTTCCAATCAGTGTCTGAAATAACTTATCAATTATCTTTTTACAGTATCTCACTAGCCTAGGCCTACAGTAATACAGCAGGCCTATATGCATGCCTTTGTGTAAGTCTTGGCTTTAGTAGTGTTTCCCAAAGCCGTAGCAAAGTTTAAGCTTTTTCCATTTTTTCCGTTGAAGGTAAACATGACAGAGACATGTGTAAGAAATGTATTAGTGTATGCTTTTGCAGCTGTAACTCAAATTCGCATCCAGGGTTCCAATTAGGGTGAACCCTCACAAGTCATAAAATCATAACCAAAACATCATGTAAATGAATCCATTGTTCCAGAAAAATAAACATTGTCTTTATATTTTAACCAATGTTAGGAACACAGCAGAAATAATCACTGTTCTAGAGTAATTTGTGTTATCCTTGGTGGTTTACTGTAATTGTTCAGTCATTTCTTTTGTGTCACTAAAACTTTTAATTGAATTAAATGATGATGTCACTATAATGGACTTTACTGTTATTGGCAAGAATACCATATCTACAGCAAAGCATACAGAATTTTAATATTAATGTTATCAGAATCTCTTGGTCACAGTATACAGTTACTGACAGTTTAGTTAAGTACTGACGTAAGATTTCCTTTGAATGGTATGAGGATTATAACTATCCTTCCACTGTTCTATTTAAATAAAAATGTTACTCCTCTATTACTAAAATAGCATGAAGTGGATACTACTCTAGGCTACCTACCTAGTTAAAAATCATATAGAGTTAAATGAGCTAAATAAGCCCTGGACAGAAACAGTACATTAGCAAACATACACTTGCTTCTTTTGAACAGTAAATGGAAAATATATCTCAATAAAAACAAGGAGTGCAGATTATCTATAGTAGGAACACCTACTGTACTATGGACTTTCACTTGAACTTTTCCAAATCTTCAGGAAAAATAACTAACACTTTACACCACATCCTCAAGACTGGTTGTTACCAAGTAAAATGAGTGCTAATAGTAATATTAATTAAATATTATATTTAACCAAAGATGTTGTAACCGCAATGTCGTAAAATAATGTAAAATGTCTCAAGAAAGTGTACAGTACACATCGGGATGCTTATCCACCCATCTCCCTCAACCAGGCTAGGCCAGGTCCTCTGCCCTTGAGATGAACCGGTGAGGGGCCAAGCCGGTATCTGCTTACCCAGTCCTTGTTTGACCCGGACTAGAGTAGAGAAGGAAGGCCTGACTATATAAAGCAAATACCGGTAGTCGGATAATTTTATAATGCTAGCTCCAACATGCTGAAGGAATGTACAAAAACTGCTTACATACCTTTTTTGTCAGACTATGCTTGCTAGAAAAAAATACACAACCTCAAAAAAATCAAAATTGTTTAGTTCACCACGAGATTGGATGGTTGAATTGTGAACAGTGCGACGATACAATGCGGTCCATAGGAAGTTGAAAACCCGGAAGTAAAAGGATCAGACTCGAGGAGAGAAGAAAGGAGAAGGGCGTTGTCAATCGACCAACCAACGGCTAACAAAAACTTCGTCACCGTATAAACTTAAGAGGGCAGGCTACCATTAAAATTATATAATTATTATTATACTAGTTATACAATATACAGTACATTGTAATGTCTTTCTGATGGCGCTTCTGCCTCACTCAAACTATCGAATGGAATTATGCATAATATAGTGACTGCAAGATATCCAACGTTCTATACATTTTATAGCAATTAAAAATAGTGGCAATGTGTAGTAGAATTTACTGTGCTCAGTTGGTTACGGTGTTATATCTTCAAATGAAATGTTACTTATTTTATTTATTTTGGATTTTTAATGTTGCTTACTTTTTTTTTATTTTGAATTTATCATCTGGCATTAATCGCTGGCATTAATCCCAAGGCAAATCAAATCAAAGTAAATACACCTGTTTGTAATTCATTTATATCATCATATTTAACGTATTGGAATCGTAAAATAAAAGTTTTGTATGAGATAATGGGAGTTCAAATCCTGAGAGCTTTCTTCTTGTGCTTTTATTAGGCCTATTATTATTAAGCCTTGTGGTTTCGGTGCTAAAGCCAAGGGCACTGAGAAAATGTAACTTTTAATATTGCAACATGATATAGGTGGAAGGATGAGTGTTTTATATAGAGCTAGAGCAGAAATATTTGTTGGGAGATTATTATATTTAAGCTTGTTAAGAATGCCGAGGTTGGCCGACATTTTTGTGGTAATTTTATTATAGCTTTTCGTCAATGAGACACCAAGAAATTTGGTGAATTTATGTTTTTCTAATGGAACACTTTAAATAGGGTAGCGTGTGGTATTAAAATCTTTGTTACTGGGCCTTTAAGGAAAGTCATAAAACTAGTTTTGTCTATAATAGGCCAGTATTTAGTGTAAGTTTGTTTGCTCCCAGTTAGCAGCTGTAGGCCATAGGAAGCGGAATTCACCAATCGATACCGTTTGTATGTCAAAATTGTCCTTTAACGCAACATAACAAAATCACAGTATGGCCTGACTCAGCATACACACACACACAACCAGACACCCACACGGAAAGGATTTTAAAAGTAAATGGCCGTATTCGACTGGTCGTTCTTCGTTAAACCACGCCCAACTACGCAGTGGTAAAATCCTACTTAACGAAGACGACCAATCGAATAGAAAACTGTATTAAATACTCGACAACAAAACAAAATGGCTGCTTAATTACCGCGATGGGTTTTTCGTAAAAAAATGTTTTCATCCAGTTTTTTTTTTTTTTTCAATTCTTTTACCCTAAAATTATTTTTTGACTTCAATGTGCGTAAATATTATAATTTTTTATTTTCTGAAATTTAATCTAAATTATATCGGGAACAGTGTAATTTCACTGTTCCCTGATTATATTAACTCAAATGTTGTTGCTAAATTGACCAATCGACCATATTTTTTTTGGTAACGTGCATAACTTAACGCTGATTAACGCGCTCTGGTTACGTTATTTTCGTTGTCAACGAAGTCTATTTTACGAACCAGTCGAATGAAAATAATACTCAACGAAAATTCGTACCCAACGAAATGAACCAGTCGAATAAGCCCATTGACTACCTAGGAAGTGAAAACAGAATTTTAAAATATTTGCAACTTTTTGGACTTTTCAAACAGTCCATTCTAACGATAATTATACTTCATGGGAATTTCAGAAACTTATAGGATATATTGGTCTATATAAGCATAATATCCGGCAACTCGTGTATGTGAATTGTTATTTCTATTTTAGTTCATTTATGTTTCTTGTATTGCATTTATTAACCAAAAAATAAACTTCTCAATTCATCCGGAGAATATGTCTACCATTTCACAATAGGCCTACACTGTATTCACACAAAATTAGTTCCAATTTAAAGTATAATTCTAACTTATCGGTCAATTATAGCGTTGTCAAACTGGGTGCTTGACTTTGGTTTTTTTATGTAAGAATTTGAGCATTTTATTCTGATCGACTAAAATAAATTCGTTGACGATTTTCTTCAATCGCAATTATTTTGACTAATGCTCGTATTCTACCAAAATGTCGCGGCTCACTTAGCCAAACCAATGTTTGTAAAATACAACAATGGTTGTCAGTACACATCTCATGGCGATAAGCATATCAGTTAGATAGGGCCTGCACTGTATAATATAAAGTTCCTAATTCCTCCATGGTTTCAAAGACCAGAGCCGTATCCAGGATTACCATTGGTATTAGAAATAAAAGTGGTGCAACTCTATAATATCATTCATTTTACATTTATTATTCGTTCAGGTTATATAGACCTACATGTACTATACTTATAGGCCTAGCGTTGTTAATGGTCGGTCAAAAATAGCAAAAGAAGAAATGGTTATTAAATTTTGCATTTTGAAGGATGTGCAGGACAATGTCGTGTAAAACAAACAGAAACTTTACTTGGATTTCCCAGAGAGCACACTACAAACAATAGCTCCGTACGTAAGTATCTAATTTTTTATCCATGTATCTATTTTTGTAAACTTAATACAGGGGCTGCGCCAGGAATTCCCCGACGAGAAGGTCCAAGCTCCCAGACAAGTGGTCCAGCCCCACCCTCCCCGTGGGAGAAAATTGTGTTGATTATGGTATTTTTTTTTTATCGCGCTTGTGCACAACACCTCGCACATACGGTAGCACTGCTTGCACTAAACAGTTTTTAATCCCTAAAATTTGTAAAATAAAGTCATACCTAAATTGTATTTTCGGCGGTTGAGATTTTCATTTCTTCGACGACCTTGCTGGAAATTCCCCGACAGGGGGTCAAAGCGTGGGGTCCAGATGTCCCGACGGGGTTTGAGAAAAGTTTTGGATGATTTTTGTATGTCGGGCATATAAGACGACACTCGCCATCGTCGGTATTGCTACTTTTTATTGTATACCGATACTGCCCACTGCCGGCGGAACCGGGGTGGGGGATAGGCCGGGGGTATTGCCCCCCCCCCCCACTCTTTTGACAGAAAATATATAATGTCTATGCAGATTTTTGTGTATTCCCATTCATCTTACTAGTGGGCCCCTTCACTTTGAAAAACGTTCCACCAGCCCTGCAGAAATGGTCGCCCAAGACTCAGTTCGAAAAGAAGGTACAGATAAGCAGACATTGTTATTAGTTCTTTGACAGTTATAACGATGATGGTGAGTTGTGGGATTTTATGGCAATGATGCTGATTATGATGATGATGATGATGACAGCGAGAGGTTGCAGGTTCGAATCCCGCAAAACAGGTCTCTGATGGGAGTATAAATTACATAAAATGATGCATCGAAGTGATGGGTACACGTATCCTAAACAAATTTAAGAAGAAATTGTTAAATTATAACTCGTTTACATTTGTTCTGTCAATCATTTTCCTATGCTTCTTTCAATATGTTGCTCTTCTGTACAATACTGACTGCCTTGTATGATCGTATTACTACCTAGAAGACTCACAGTTCTTCTGAAAGGTACTCGGCGAACAAGAGTGGGATTTATGGGGCTGCATTTTACCGATGCTCTCGATGTTCGATGCAAATAACCCTCAGGTGAAGACTGATATTCAGCGGATTTTAATGGACAAATATGACGGCTGTTAAGTCTTATTTGTGAGTGAAAGGGAATCCTTAGAAAACTATTTTCTAACATCTCCCTGTCTATAGTATTGTTAGTTAGGCCTGTCGACGATTTGACGGTTTCTGTTGAGGACGTCGTGCAGACACTGAAGTCATACACATTCTGGATGTCAAGAGTGGCAATGTGGGAAGCCTCGACAGCAGGTTTGGAATTCAGACTAGTTCGCTGTCGAATGTAACCGGTGGGAATTGCAGACGTTGCCTTTGTGTTCCGTAATGGTGTCAAATTCACCGTCACTCCTCTAATATTCGAGTCATTGACATGCAGCACTTGCTTCTTCTCGTACACTGGACTCTCTTTTTCGTGATCTCCATCTGAGATATTATATTCCTGTTCTTTGTTCTGTAATTCTCTGAAAATAGAAACATGTGAATGTAAAGGTCGAGGAAAAAAAAAAAAAAAAAAAAAAAAAAAAAACCCTGACACATCAAAGAAAACTCCTGCCAAACATAACACCATAACCACATCTCCATGCATAGTAAGGATATAGACTTTACATGTTTTAACAAACGACTACATTTAAAAAATTTGAAGGGTGTTTATTCGAAGGAGGCGTTTCTTTTTGGGTTGTAAAATGGATACGTATAAAATCAAATAAACACTCCTTCATTGTAAATGATTGACTTTATTCTACCAGATTAAAATTCAAGATTCAGTTATTGACTTGTCCATAAACAATTCAAATATAATATAAAAATGGAAAAAATTGTTTTAATACTAAATAAAATATTGGTAAAGAAAATGTGTTGGGAATGGTGTTCTGGTTATGGTGGGTAAAGCCGACCTCCTAAGGACTCCAAAAGTGTAGGCTTATAACAGGAGGGGTAGTAATGGAGTCGAATGATAGGAAAAATCCACCACCACAGTTTAAGACGCGTAGCGTCAGTCATGAGTAATTTGCATATGTATTTTAATGGTAAAATAAATAAATCATATGAAAAATGAAATATTGTTTTGGAACTATTGTTATATCGTTACCCAAAATTTCGAGATGAGGCCTATTGTTGTTGTGGAAAAGAGTGGGCGGGCAACCAAGTGCTGATTTTTACTTGGTGAATTAATTGACAATAATGTTTGTACGTTTTGTTGCCTCATAGTAGACGGTCACCCCGATCATTCCACTCACCTGACTAATCGATTCAATTTCACTTTGACAGCAAACGATAGTCGTGTCATTAACGATGCATATTCATCTAAAACGCGCCGACAAACGCCTTCACATGTATTCAGAGTTCGATACTTTTCCATATACATCTTAATATCCTCACAATGTGTAAAGGTGACGTTCCTATTGGCTTTTGATTGGTTGTAATAAAGTCTGTAAGGGAATATAGGCTTGGATTTCGGCTTTCCTGACAAAAAGTCCACAGGATGTCCGTTTTCACGCGATAACCATCCACCGAAATCATTCGTCGTACCATGTCTGTCATCATAGGCTGCATCATAGTGATTATATTTGGAGCTTATGCGCAGTAAAGTTAAAGTAGCGTTTTCCGCTTGCCTGACGTCAGAATGCTCTACACAATTTTGGCAAGTTTTAATCCCACATTGTCTCATCTTAATACCTTCAATCATTAATTTAAAAAAAGTCTGCAAAAGAAAGAATGTCTTTTGATAACCATTATTAAAATGAAGAAAAAAATAACTTATAAAAAACCAATTAAGCCTAGTCAATACACTTATATGGCATATAATAGGCTACAGTTGTCGGAAGACTTTATTCAACGAAAAGGAATATTCATAATGTTAGAACATTAAATGTTATTCTTATTTTTAAAAATATTAAGATAAGACAGAAAACCTGGTTTTCTTGGATTTTTTTTATAATTTGGATTTTAAGGTATTGCATAATATGCAATAAATATGCAGTATCTTTGATATGGAGAAGCGCCTCCATAGTAATAAGTATAACTATATAAACATGTAAAAAAAAAGTTCTCAACTAGATTAGAATCCAAGATATACCCTGGTTTCCTTAAAATGCTAAAGTGCCTTCAGTGCAATCGTTCTACGTACAGCGTAGCATTTCCCGACGCAATCGGGAAGGTTTCTCAATTTTACCTTCCATAAGCAACATCAACTTGTCGGCCATAGCGTGTAGCGATTGTATGGAAACAAAGCTTGAATTAGAACACATTTTGTTCTTATGGTATTACAAAACGACAATGTATTTCCATATCATAACAGAGGAGAAATCTGACGAAGAAATTTGTAACATAATAACGTAATTATATATTACGTTATATAAGAAAAAAAGTCAACATACCTTGATATCATTCACAGAACAATACGTTCTCTCCAGTGTTACTTTGTTTGGTTTGTTTTATTACCTAAAGTTGAAATCAGTTCAGATATAATTATGCCATTCCGTCCATAGTCACCTCCTACAAGTGATTCGTAGATCTTCAGTTAATCTTGGTAGCTTGATTTGTCCTTGATATGACGCAACGTACGTAATCAGTGGAGAAAAGAAAAGAGAAAAGAGAACAATGAACTATGAAAAACACTATACTATTTCTGCATGCAGCTGAGCTGCGCCGATGAATGGTGTTGTAAGTTAAACTCGGAGTTCTTTAGCCTCACAGCAGTCAACATATAGACTATACTATCATAAGACAGCATGATAATCATGATAATCATCCTCGAGTCTCTGGAATTTTGTACCGCAGGAAATAGTTGACTCCCCAAAAGTCAGCACGGTCAAGCTCTGCTAAGCTACCATGGGATACTTTTCACTTCGGTTTTATTTTTTTTTATCAAAAAGAGGAAAGAAGAAGCAGAAATATTATTAAAAAGTTAAAAACATAAGCGAAGCCACGTAGAGAGAAATGTTTATACATCTGCGAGCAATGTTGCATATACCAGTTTGCATTGTGCGAGTATACTCTATTTATAGAGGCTAATACAATCGGTACCAGAAGATGATAATGACGATGACGACTAGATTTAATAAATCTGTGTGCCAAAGCTGGCCTAACATCTCTCAACATAATTATGAAAAAAAAATGCCGACATATTCTAAAGTACCGTGAAGTACATGACTGTCCTCTCTATACTATATTGACAGATAAGCATGACAAAAATGAATGCAATATACAGTAAAGACAGTATACAAGAATTAATTTAATACAAAATCAGTGTGTAAATGAATCCTTTTTTTATCCAGTAAGTTTAAAATAAGCACAATTGTAAGCATTGTTATTAAAGACAGACTCGTAAAGGAAAAATTTATATGTTGAACAATTACTGACGGGTGTTTGAAGGAAAACTCAGGAGCGGTTAATGAGATACACATTTTTTTAATATTTAGGGGCGTAACCACCATTTTTCACCTTGTCCACAGTTTTAAAATACAACATAAAAAAGATTTCCTAAAGGAGGTACAAATACAGTTAAGATACGGTATAAGAAATTTATTTGTAGTTCTCATGTTCCAGAAATGTATACAGAACTATAGGCCCTACATTGTTTTTTTTTTCTTTAGTGGGATCCTCCCACATTTATCTCTCATAACATCAATTTTAATCCCTAAAATTTTGACAGCTTATAAAGACATGCTTGAATTACAAAGTATATTCGGCGCTCGAGATTTGATTTTTCCCCGACCGCCTTGCTTGAAATTCCCCGACAGGGGGTTCAAGTGGGGGTCCTGTGTTCCCCGACGGGGGTCCTTTTCTCCCTGGACCCCCTTCTAGCGCCGCCCCTACTGTTAACTGTTAACAGAACATTCCTTGAATATACAATATATTACAATAGTCATGGGCATATACATTTTTAAACATTTTCATGAGCATTTTATAATCATTTTTTTCGTTCTTATTTATTTATTCATTGGAAGGTAAATTGCTTGTGTAGGCCTACGTCACCCCCTGATTTAAATATTATTGACAAAAACATGTCTACGTAAATCGTAAAGCAGTATCGTTTTATATATTATGTAAATAGGTGGAGTGACGCGATAAATTATACCAGAACGTGACATCTAACAAAGCGGAGCTGTTGATATTGAAGAGTAGAATCGATCAGTGAAATCATAAAAAATGTCCAAACTCTGAATAAATAATACGATTCAGCCATATTCATCTTCTCCCTACCAACCGACAGTATCAAGGAAGGATAATTCCCTGCCATGGATTTCGACGAAATTCCAGATGACTTATATCAATCTGGATCTGATACTTCTTCAGTGACGCGATCAAGTTCTGGTCACAGCAGAGATGCAATCAATGACGTTGCGGACCATGACTCTGCGTATGAGTCCACATTAGATGGGGTGAAAGTCGTGTTCGAAAATCCGATTGACGAAAAATACAAGTGTGTATTTTGCCAAAAAATCCTTGTGTTCCCGATTCTGCTAGAGGTATGTGGACATCGGTGCTGTTCATCATGCTTACCCAAGCTTCTGAGGTAGGTCTAGATCTGGCAGCAGTGATGCTTGGACTCTAGTTGCTAAATTTTTTCAAAACAGGGGTGGATCTAGGGGAGAAAAAAAGAAAGAAAAAATGAGAAGAAAAGAAAGGAGAAAGAAGGAGACCACGGTACTTCAAAACAAGCTATTCTTTAAATTTAAATTAAATGTAGCAGTGTCTATTAGCAAGCATTTATAAATAAAATCTAAAACATCATTTCCCACAATTTGCTCGGTGTTTCGCACGTCATATTCCCCATACCCAGAATTTTGCGCCCCGGCCAAAGATAAAGTCTGTAGAATGTTCACCATTTGTTAGTAGACAGATTGTGAACATTCTTATGTGTGTTTCTATTTCTTTTTTGATGATTAACCCAGTATCGTTATTACCGATTATTAATAAATAAGATGAAAAAATAACCATATGTATGAATATAGCATGGGTAAACTCGTCTGTTTTGCTAATTTCGCAGGGAAAATCAAAGATGTCTCCTGGACGATAAGCCAATATCACGTGACAACGTTTTCGTAGACTCTGCGTTTGGTCAGGAGATCGGTAAACTGGATGTGAAATGTGTGAACCACGTCAAGTTTTGCACTTGGACGGGCATCCTCAGCGAATCAAAGGTAAACATATGCATCAGTGGCGGATCCAATGAGTGACGAAATTTTCTCCGGGCAGCAGCAAAAAAAAATATTGTGGACGGTCTCGCCCGCAACCCCTCGAACCCGCTAAGGGTCTTCGATTTGCTGCTCCCGCTCTCCGGCAATAACAATTCAGGACCCGCCACTGAGCAACCTGCTGCTCTGTCATCGTCACAAGGGCGGATCCAGAAAATGAAGTTAGTGAGGAGAGTACGTTGGCGAGGGTCAAACTTTGAAGGAATAAAGACTGATAAGCCCGTCCCCCAAATCCATAACCATGTATTTATGAATTGATGTTAAGCTTAGTAGGCATGATTTTATTATTTTATGCCGGTTGCCGGCGACAGTGATTGATCATCCTCCTGGACCTCCTCAATTGTACCATGTCTCGCCCGCACTCCCTCGAACCCGCTAAGGCTCCTCGTCGATTCGCGCTCTAAGGCAATAACAATCCAGGATCCGCCACTGGGCAACCTGTTACAATATTAGCCAGATCAATACAATTGTTTGAGTGAATTGTCCATACAATTAGCTCCACACAATGTTCTGAAATTGTAAAAATGCACTTCCCTGTACAGTAGCGGATTTAACGGGGTGGGGGGAAACCGGCCCGGGGTCCCCAAAATTGTAAAGAATTGTAGAAAAATTTTTTTTTCAAATTTTAAGACTGAGAGTATCATTTCAGGTCATCTATTTTTTACCTCAGCCCCAACCATGGTGGGGTAAGGTGGTATAGACCATCCATCTGTCAAAGTCCCGCCCTGGTCCCCCTCTATTTTAAAATCCTAGATCCGCCACTGCTCTGCTTTCAGGAAATTCGTCATAAAAAAAGCACCAATTCAACGAGCTGAGTTGAATATCTACGTGGTTTTGATACTTGCCGCGCCTGGATTCAATTCCTCTCAGCTGCGTTGCATAATTTTTTTCTCATGACTAAAACAACTCCACTCCATAAACCACATATTGAAATTTAGTTTGTGTAAGGCATCGTGTGTATATGTGGTGGGGGGGGGGGGTGGGTGTGGGTGTGTGTGTGTGTAAGTTTGTCTTTTCAAAGGGATGTATAGGACAGTAATATACTGCATTCACTATCCCTACATGTGTACTGTTGTTATGTGCCTGAATAAATAAATAGAATACTAGCTAATTATTGTTATTTATTATATTTATTTAGGAACACATCAAGAAGTGTTTGTATGTCGAAATAGAATGTCCGAATGTTTGTGGCGCAAGAATGAACAAAATGCACATGGAAGCACATCTAAAGGAAAGCTGCCACAAGAGAATGGTTACTTGCGACTTCTGTAGCAAGTGCATATTCTACAAGGACGAGATTTCGCACTACAACGTCTGCTCAAACTTCCTGGTGCACTGCCCGAACGGGTGCGACGTCACGGTACAGTATCCGCGACACAAGCTGGAGAAACACCTGGACACGGACTGCCCATTGCAAGTCATAGAGTGCACGTTCGCCTATCTTGGCTGTAAATTCACGGTAAGCCTATTTAGTTTCTGCTTTCTTTCTCGAATAGCAATCTTCAGTCAATGAGCGACATCACCACATTTGGCACTTTCACTTACTTATAGATTTACACTGCGACCTAATAGGCCAAATAGGCCTACAAATACATTGCCGCTCTTGCTCAGTTTCTTGTTCACATGTATGCAGTAGTGGCGCCATGATTTTCCCGACGGGATGTACGACGCTGGGGGGGGGGGGGGGGGGGGGGGGAGTGATGTCCCCACCAGAAAAAGTGGGTGTGGTCGGGCGTCGCTCAAAATCTCTGAAAAGTGTTCCAGAATGGCGAAGCCCCCGAAAAATATGACAATTTAGGGGTTTCAAAGGCTTATTAATCGATTTTAGAGTCTACTAATATGTAGAAAATACAGACCTATACATGTTTTCTCCCCGACGAATTGTGGTTTTACTCCCCGACGAGGGGGGTGGGGTGGTTTGGCAGATTTCGACGATTCACGGGAGCCTAAAAGCTCTCCCGTGTCAATTCACAGGGGCCAAATCCCGGTGATACACAAGCGCAATTTAATCACAATCTTCGATAATGTTTTATTGATGTGCCTTATTGCAGACAATCCGTTCAAAAATGCACCACCACATGAGAGACAATAAGGACATGAATCGTCACGTGGCAATGATTGGAAAGAAGGTTCTCGCACAGGGGCAGCTTTCTGACACAAACGCGGTTGCCATGGAAGAAGAAATGAGCTTGCTTAAGACATGTGTTGAAAAGGTTCAAAACCTTGAGAAAACGTTCGGGTCTCACTTGGTTTGGAAAATCGACCATTACGCAGAGCGTCTTCAGGACGCAAAACTTGCCATAAAGACAACTATCTTCAGTCCGCCATTTTTAACGGGCAGAAACGGCTACAAGTTGGCTTTGTCTGTCTGTCTAAATGGTGATGGGAAAGGTAAGAAAATTCACATATTTGTGGATTATATCAATTCAGTTCAGTTTTTTTCTCCCATTGATGCCAGTCGCATCCCAGAGGCCGTCTTCTAACATCCAAATGTATGCTGTCCTGGATCACACTGATGAATAAAGCACATAATTTGCAAATAAAAATTAATCAGCCATTGTTTCATCTAAGGTTTTCAACATTGATGTCGGGCACTCATTTTGCCCGACGGTCATCAGTGCTATGGAGCTTGCAACGCTACGGCGCGCATAACCGGTCTTTTTTAATGGTTTCCTATATTAATTGTCCCTTAAGACTGCCACCATCAATAAATGACGTCGCGTCGTCTAGCACTCACAGGAAGCAGAGTTGGACTGGTGCGACGGTCGACCGCCGTCGTACGACGCAGTGAGTGTTGGGAATAGAGGGTGGCATTATTGACATCTATCTGATCTGTGCATGCGGATAATATGATAGCAATACGCAGGGGCGGATTTAGAGGGGCGGCCCGCCCCCGCCCCCTTCCCCACACTTTTGGAAAGTCAAAAAAAAAAAAAAGGAAAAAAAGGAAAAGAAAAGAAAAAAAAATGATCGCCCAAAATGCCTCAGAGGTTATTTTCAGGCGTCTAGAACACAGAAATTTCGGAAGGGCATGCCCCGGACCCCCTAGGCTATTGTTATCTTCGATCGGCCCCACTTTCGGCCCCTCTTCCGGCCCCACCTGTTGGATATCTCTGGATTCGTCCCTGATATGTAAAGCCGGGCATACATCGTGTCGGCTGACCAATCCATTCCTGCTCTCCTGTGACCTGACGACGCGACACGGTCTGCTGATTGTGTGACAGATCGATCGTCATTGAAAACTCTCCGTGTACCTTGTCGACTTACGTATGAATCGCTTCGGCCGACGACCACTGGTGTGCAACCGGAACCAGTTTAACGAAAATTTCATTAGACGTCCTTATATATTAATATCTATAGAATTATATAAAACTAAAAAAAAAAATGAACTGTATTTATTATCTATCCCTATATTTTTGTGTTGAGGGATCCTAATTTGATCTATTTTCTTCAAAGGTAAAGGTCATTTTATGTCAGTGTTCATCTGCATATGCCGTGGGGCGTACGATGGCATCTTACCGTACCCCTTCACACACCGGGTCACGTTTACTCTCATCGACCAATGTGAGGATCCAAAGGCTAGGTGTAATATCTCGTACAGCATCAAACCCAATCCGAGCAAAGAGAACAAGTCTTTTTTGGGCAGACCGCAGGCGGAGCGCAACCACAGCTTCGGGACCTCCAAATTCGTGCCACTGAACGTTGTGAAGACCAGAGATTACATCCGCGACAATATCATATTTATAAAGGTTCGAGTGGACCATGACGAAAAAATGGGTTTATAGAATAAAACATTATTTATATAATTACCTACTACATAGGAACACATTATTTGTCAATTATTTTATGTATTGTGTACTATCGAACGTCACGTTTCAAAAATATTATAACTCGCCACCATCAATAAGCCTATGGCATACCGTATTCAACTTCTTAATGATAGAATAGTCTAAAGCTCTTTCTGTCCACATTATCCAATTTTTGTAACGTACCCGTCCACGTATAGGCATGATGATGTCATATTACATCCAAAATATGGGCATATCACAGTTGTTTATCACATACAATTTGATACCGTGGACAGAGCGTTACAGAATGTACCGGTACTGATTAGTTATGTGCATATGAATCGTGGTATAGATGGGACAGACAGTTTAATTTCCCGTCCTACAGAAGAGGCGTTTGGAGTAAATACCCACCGGGATTATGCTTTAATGTAGAGGTGGTGCCAGCAGGGAGAGAGGAATTCCCACACCCCCTGTCAGACAGGCCTGGGCCCCCCTATCATCCGGTGCCACGACGAAGTAGTCGGATAAAAAAAAATAATAATTTGCTTATCCACATACGTTATTTTGATTGCCAATTTCTTAAAGCACAATTTGGCCATAAAAACTCTCCCCGTCAACCCTACCAGACTTTTTTATTCCCGGATTCCGACCAAGGCTCTAGTTGGCAACGTAGTTTGGACCTCTCTTTCGGACATGTCTGACCACTTGTGGCCAAATTTCTGGAGCCAACGCTGCTTCAAAGCTAAAAACATAATATTATGCTTGCGCTACTTCGGTGTATTTATAAGCATTGTAGTTACAAATGCAGATGTAGGTGTAAATATTTTAGTTGGAGAGATAGCTGACATTTATTTAAAGTATTGAGTGCAAAAGGTTTGAGTGTGCAGTTCTATTGTACTTTGCCTACAAATGAAGGAACGGGGCATCTTAAGTTGCGCAATCCTGGGGTTTGGTCCCTAAGGGTCCCAAAAGTGTGACCCAAAAACCCATTTAATTAAAATTTCGAGTGCAACATCCGTTTCAAGTAGGTTGCATTTAGAATACCCCTCTAAATAAAGGGGCGCAACTTAAGACGTGAAAATGCCTGGCATTATTAATTAAGACACAGACTAATTAACGGCGAATTAATGATTTAATTAAACTTTCGAGTGCAACAAAAATTCTTTTTGCAAAACATAACTTAGTGACCCCAGACATTATAAGCACAACTTAAGACATGATTTTTCCTGGGGTTTGTAGATAAGATGGGGTGGTTTGGCGCTGAGGGTTATGAGAACCCTTAAAAATAGACTTCTACAAAAGAGGTAGTGCAACAATTTTGATAGCT